ATGATCAGGTGACCCACCTGGTGGATGAGGGGAAGGCTGTGGATGTGTCTACCTGGACTTCAGCAAAGCCTTTGACACTGTCTCCCATAATATACTCCTGGAAAAGCTGCAGCCCATGGCTTGGACAGGGGCACTCTGTGCTGGGTCAGGAACTGGCTGGAGGGCCGGGCCCAGAGAATGCTGGTGAACGGGGCTGCATCCAGCTGGCAGCCGGTCACCAGTGGTGTCCCCCAGGGATCAGTGCTGGGCCCAGTCCTGTTTAACATCTTTATGGATGATTTAGATGAGGGGATTGAGTCCATCATCAGCAAATTTGCAGATGACACAAAGTTGGGAGGGAGTGTCTGGAAGGCAGGCAGGGCTCTGCAGAGGGATCTGGATAGACTGGAGAGATGGGCTGACTCCAATGGGATGAAGTTCAACAAGGCCAAGTGCCGGGTCCTGCACTTTGGCCACAACTACCCCCTGCAGCGCTACAGGCTGGGCACAGAGTGACTGGAGAGCAGCCAGGCGGAAAGGGATCTGGGAGTTTGGATTGACAGGAAGCTGAACATGAGCCAGCAGTGTGCCCAGGTGGCCAAGAAGGCCAATGGCATCCTGGCCTGGATCAGGAACAGTGTGGCCAGCAGGAGCAGGGAAGTGATCCTTCCCCTGTACTCAGCACTGGTGAGGTCACACCTTGAGTATTGTGTTCAGCTCTGGGCCCCTCAGTTCAGGAAGGACATTGAGGTGCTGGAGCGGGTCCAGAGAAGAGCAACGAGGCTGGTGAAGGGACTTGAGCACAAGTCCTATGAGGAGAGGCTGAGGGAGCTGGGGTTGTTTAGTCTGGAAAAGAGGAGGCTCAGGGGAGACCTCATCACTCTCTACAACTCCCTGAAAGGAGGTTGTAGCCAGGTGGGGGTTGGTCTCTTCTCCCAGGCAACCAGCAATAGGATAAGAGGGCACGGTCTCAAACTCTGCCAGGGGAGCGTTATAGTCAAATGACCAGATATATTTTTAAAATATAGTAGAAATTTATTAAAAGCAAATAAGCAAAACAGCGCGCTGAGAGACCCGGGGAGACTCCCGTTCCACCAGCAGGTCTGCGCGCCAAAAAACGTGCACTGATCTTTTATATGTGCCATTATCCCCTCCCCTGTAGGTGGCGCTTAGATGACAGCAGCAGGTCCCGGATGAGGGCGGGAAGACAGCAGACTTCTCTTCCCCCCCCCCCCCCCCCCCCCCCCCCCGGCCGTTCCTCTGGACGACTTTTCCCTACCCACATTTTACAGGCACACCCAAACTTACATTCAGAACTTGTTCAACACAAGAAGATATAGCTTGCCATAGTAATACAACATTGTGGCTTGACACCTGCAATTCAAACTAATCAGTAACATTACAAATTTAATTTGATTAGCAAATTATTCACCTTTGCTTTTATTAACTATTACAGGGAGGTTTAGTTTGGATATTCAGAAGAATTTTTTTACAGAGAGGGTAATCAGATATTGGAATGGGCTGCCAAGAGATTAAACATCCCTGGAGGTTTTTAAGATGAGACTGGATGTGGCACTTAGTGCAATGGTCTAATAACCAAGGCGGTGTTGGATCAAGGGTTGGACTTGATGATCTTGGAGGTCTTTTCTAATCAGGTTGATTCTATTTATCTGTATTATTGCTTAAATGTATTTTTCATTAGTTAATATTGGTGAAATAGTCAGTGTGATTGTTTCTGCTTACAATTTCAGTTTAAGTGAATACGGTACTTGTTTAACTTGTCCAAACATGTTAAAGGTATTGAATTTTGAGGCAAAAACATTCAGTCTGGAAAGGGAACACTGACAAAGTCATTCAAAAGGGAAAAGAAGAATATTTTATAAAAGGAACTGTAGCTAATGATGCCATCCAGTTGCTTTAGAGTGCTTCTACTTCACCTTTAATGAATTAGATTTGTCAACAGCATATGTTTTATGCACTACTTCTAATGAAGTGGCATACCAGCACTACAGTGTACTTTGAGGATTATTCCATCAAAGCTTTTTGCTGTCGTAAAGTAGACCTTTTTAAATAATAGATACTAAAAACTACATTTAAATAGCATTAAGGTTGTGACACAAACACCAAATGACAAACTTCAGGCAATTCAAAGTTAGGGCTGACAACTTGTCATTACCTTGCATTGTCATTTTTTAAAAAATAAGCACAATTGCATGATTTAAGGATTGAATGTCAGACTAACTTTAAATTTCTTGCCTTTTGTGGGCTCGAGTTACAACCTTACTGTCATTTTTTCTACAGATTTTTTTAAAATTATGTTTTCAGAAAAATAATAAAAGCAGTGGAAACAGTACAGGCTTTTTTGGCTTTGTTTTTAATTTTAAGCACAGATGAGAGAGTACTGGTTAAAGAGCAGGGGCTATCTTGTTGTCAAACTTAAATACCTAAGTATGTACATGTTCTTTTAAACTTCCTTTGCTTTTGTCTTTGCTGATACTCTTATGGAATTTATGAGTTACAGGAACCTTAGTCCTGGGTTACTTTCACTAAACCCCCAAAAAGTATTAAGAGTTCTCAATTCTTTTCCACATAAATAACCACTTTCTTTTTACTGGACAGTACTGAATAAACCAAGGGTATGTAGAGTATGTAGAAAGACTTGCTAAAGGAACTTTAATTACTTAAAAGAATGTGGAACAAAAGCAGGTGAACAGTTACAGTTATTTCTTACATATTTCTCATTTTGTTGCTGTTAAACGTAATGGAACTTTCTGTTCAGATAAGTTAGCATGCATGTGTAAACACAATCCTTTCAGTCCCTGTGTAGAGGTAATTTCTCAAGGTCTGTAAGTCTAATGAAGGCAATCCATTATTTTCATCATGGTTTTGTCAACTTGATCTGGCACAAACTGGCACTGCTGCCACGTGGTCAGGTCTGCACCAGTCACTCATTTCAGTCACCTTCCCTGTGCCACCAACAGTGCTTATACAGCTGCCTGGTAAACAGGGATTAATAAATAGTCTTGCACAGGCTAAATGGCTGCTACAGAACATTGGTAAGATCCTGTGGGAAAAGGGTCAGAAAATTTGGCCTTTCTTTCAAGTAGTCTGAACCTCTTTTCTTAGTACAGTCAATCAGTTTCTCTTAATTTCTTTTTATTATGTTGCCATTAGTGCATAATAACACAAAAACCTAACTTTAATAAAAATTTGTGATCATTCAAAGAAGAATTGGTTTAGTGAGCTATGTCATCCACTAGTACAGATAAATAATTGGATTGTTTGAATAATAGTCTCTATAATATTTTTAATTCTAAAGATGCCATTTGACTGGGAACATTTAAGTTATGTCAGGTAATGCAGATATAAGGAGTAATGAGGAATACAGTCTGCTTTGTTCTTTTGTTGTAATAAGCTTATCTCTGGTGCACACTGTGATGGAGATAGAAAGTGGAAAAATCATTCCAGTCTGCCTTGCTACTAAAAATCAGAGGATTTGTTCAATGCCATTACATGATACCCACTTGCAAAGCTATTGACTTTTGATTCACTTATTTGGAACAAACTTAAAGTTTCTGAGTAATGTTTAGCTCCAGAGATTAGGGTAAGGGTGTTGTGATGTTACCACTTATCTAGAAAAAAATATGTCGTTTCAATAAATGCTTCACCCCTTTTATATCCTTGAACACTTCCTTCCTTATTCAGAATATGTGCCTTTAACTACTTTTCTCATTGGATATTTTGTTTGCACTTGTAACATCCTCGAAATTGTTTCATGGAGGTGTACAAATGAAAGGAATCTTGGCTCAGGAATTTTACTGGGTGGGTCACAGCAAACATAATTTATCTTACAGATTAATAGAATAGAATTGAGACTGTAAGGTTCACTGTTGAGCTCTTATATAAAAATAATTTGCTTCTGAAGGATATTCATGCTTCTGAAGGATATTCTGCTAGAGTTATTGCTATACTCAGTTTTAGGCAGTTAAACCAAAAAATACATAGATTTAAACTTAAAAATTTGATTGTAGTATACATTTTCAACTTGATTATTACATGGCTTAATAATTTTTTATTTTTTAGGAACAGTTTTAAAATTCTTTGAAATTAATATAAGGGAAAAGAAATTTGCTAAAATATTACTGCAACCCTAGGAAAAAAATTTTACTCTTTTAGTTTGTGATGTCCCCCTTTCTTTCTAGAAACTTGAAATATAGTCTTCCTTCAAAACAACCAAAAACTGATCTTTAGTTTCCAACCAGGTTTTGTTCTGAAGTAATAGGCAAGTAGTGCACATTGTTTACACTGTAGTTGCACTTTGTGGCTGGTTGCACAACTCATTTAAGTCTTGTAATTATGTAAGAAATAATATAGTGCATGGTGTTCACTTATAAGATATTTATGAACACTTGCTCTCTTAATCGTGAAACCAAAGGCTAAGTGCTTTCTGCACTAGAGAATTTAAATTTTACAGCAGTTTGTGTAAGGTAGGCAGGAGGAACCCCTTTCTGCATCACAAATCAGCTGATTGTCTTTCCTTTTTGCACAGTAATTTATGATCTGGTCTTGTTCCAAAGAATGATTTCTTTTCCCCTGTGTGAATGTGTTAAGTAATGATTCCTTCTCTCACCTTTTTACACTCTTGCCCTTATCATGTTTTGAAATAGTATTCTTGATACGGCATCTTCCCAGAAGAGATGGCCGGATGTATTAAAACTATCTGAGTATTCTTGCATAGTACCCACATGGCATTTCCATGGCACATATAGATTAGTAGTATAGAGGTAAACAAACTTAGCCATGAGTACAGGATGTTTCTTTTGTGAGCTGTCAGCTGCAGGACTCTTGGTTGCCATATGATAAGTGTGAAAGTATAGTTTAAGATGTCTTTGAGAAGAAGGAAGTTCCTTTCATGGTAACTATTCCTGTATTTTCCCTTTTTTTTTTTTTTTTTTTTTTTTTTTTTTTTTTTTTTTTTTTTTTTTTTTTTTTTTTTTTTTTTTTTTTTTTTTTTTTTTTTGCTTTTGTAGCATCGTAGTTGAGATGACTTGCACTTCCTGCCAAGAAATAAAGATATAAAATCTTAAAAGTTAGCAGGTAAGACAAAAGTGGGTCAAAATATAGAGAGGGTGCTCTGGGAATATAAAGGCTACCTCTGAGAAACTAGATAAAAAAATCATTTATGTATGAATTGTGAGTTAGCAAGAAGGTCGTGTCTTAAGATTTATTTTTTTTTTATGTTCCCTGACAGTTACAGAACTCCAAACCAGTTAGACACAAGGTTTAGTTTTGCACAGTTATTTTGATTACCATAACTAGATGTGGTGCAGACCTACTTTCATATCAATCAGTATATTTGTACTTTAATATCCTGTTCTACAGGTGCCTTTCCTATATCCTATTTCTGTTCTATTTGGTAGTGCTTAAACCTAAATGATATATAACGTGTGCTTTTTTAATGCATAAAGCTAGCTGGTAGCAGTTTTGAGTTCTGCTCTGAATACAAACTGATGGTTAACTAGAAGTCAAGGCATAGTCAAGACTAAGCACTTCACTTACAGAGGCTTAAATCAGTGTTCTTTTAATTAAAACTGACAATACTATTGGTCTGTGTGTTACTTATTTTTTTTTCTTCTTTAAGTGATCTTTTAATCAGATACTTTTTTTTAGAATAAAAGAACATACAGATCTAATCTGATGCAGACCTGTGGTAGAATCGATATACTGGTGAGTATCAAGATTGTTCTTTAACTAGCCATGCTAAAGGAGAAGAATATGGTAAGCTCTTAAAACTCTTACTCTTCACTATGAAGGAAACAGAAATAAAAGGCAAGTAGGAGGATGTCTGGCCATGAAGATGAGTGACTGATCATGAAGAGCCAGTTGTCAGCCCAAACTATTAAAAGAGCACTAAGAGGCTGCTGTATTAGTGGAAAGTCTAATTCTCTTGCTGTGGAACTCTAAACACCATCTGTGCATATATACCTCTGCATTTTGTTGTGATTTTATAGATTCGTCAAAGATTGTTTTGGTATATGCTGACTAGTTAAGTTAGCAGTGACTCTTTAAAACCGGTTTTGGTTAGTCTTGAATCAGGCCTGTGCATGAGACAGTCATTTGAGGTATTTGAGACTTCTGATGGGAAGCATCTTGGTTATTCTGTTTTCATTTTTCATAGCTAGTAACACTTCACAACCTGATTGCAAACCTGATTTAAGTCAAAATACTAAGGAGCAATAATATTTCAGATGATTAGAGATTGGTGTGCCTATGTGAAGAAAATATTTTATAATAAAATTAATATGCTCTGATTAGTCATATAAACTTCAAATACAATGCTAATTATACAATACTGTGCCTTATCAGAGAAATCAATTACTTTTAAACTGATACTTGTGAAGCAAAGAATTATGTTCTTGAGCTTACTTTGAAGACAAGCCAGCAGAGAGAAAAAATATTACAGATCACATCCTTCTGCAGAACTTATTAGCCTTGAACATGTTTCCTGTTGTCTCATGCTAACTTTTCTTAGCCTGTTGCTGATGCTGTTGAATATAAAGATGTCCTTCTTGAAATTCTGATTTATATTACATTGTTAGCAGCAGCCACTTGGTCAGTCTTAAAAATGTAAAATGATCTTGAAACATCCTATGAGATCTACTAAATTGAAATTATTTATATAATAGTTTTCTTAATTCAGTTAGCTAATGACATGCAATTGTTATCTTTTGCAAGCAATTTTTTTTTTTACTTGAAACTGCTGGCTTCTTTAAACATGACAGTTGTTGGTGAGCTAATCCTGTGAGTCAATCTACACTAAACAAGAAGCTTATCTCAAACCCTTGGCAGCTTCAGTGAAAATTTGAAAGCATGCTTTACAGTAGAGATTGTCAAGAGTGGAACTAATATTTGTCCAGTTGGACAGCTTGCTTTTGTAGTCACTAAATGAAAGTTGAGATTCTGTCTCTTCCTTGAAAGCATCTGTGTCAAGAAAATAATTTGGACTGTTTGTGGTTTGACAGGGATTATTAAAATCAGATGAAGTGAAGGGAAGGAAGTGTAAGAAAGCAAAATTGACAGTGACACTCTCTATTACTTGCAGCTTGGATCATGATGACTATGTTGATATGATAGGTTGTAAATGTTAGGTTCACTATGGGGATGTGTTAAGCAGCAAATACAGTAAAGTGCAGTTATAGATGATTTTTGTGACTTAACAGAAAGCCATCCAGCATTTATTTTCATTGTGAAATTTGAGAGGAGAAGTGTAGCAGAAAATGAAATATTAGAGGGGCAAACAGAAGGAAAAAGGGAGTGGTTTAGAAAAAAATTTTGGGGTTTTTTTTTTTTTTTTTAGTTCATACAGCTTGCTAGTATACTTCAGAGAGAATAAAACTGAGGATTAAGAACTGATGAAACAGGTCATAAAATTTCTTTTTGCATTGACTTGAATTTGGTAGGAATTTTTTAGCATTAATAGTTTTGCTTAAAGTGATCTGAAGTCTTAGGTTGCTGTTGCACATCAATTTTTCATGACTTGCATCTTGCATGCTATTTTTAAATACTGATCTTTTCTGCCACTTCAAGATAAATAATTTAAAAACTCAAATTATTGCAATATTCATATAGCTGAATTTTTAATTGCTGAAGATACATTAACTGCCAACTGTATGCATCTTTTGATGTCTAATGAATATACAATGTATTATTTAATTTTAGTCCTTTGTTTAATCTCTTAGTTTTATAGGTAAACTTTCAGTTTTTTAATAGGCAAGTTAATGCACAAGTAAGACATTTGATTAGTGAAGTTTGAAGAGTGTTGTCATTTCTGTGTGGTTTCCTTTTCTGTTTTCCAGTATGGAAACTTTGCAAAAAATTGTACTTTGGAACAGTTTTTAGTGTAGAGTAGATTTTTAGTGTAGTGTAGATTTTATAGGAAATTAGGGAACTCAAAGAAAAAGAGGTGACACATGAAAGCCTTTGCTGTTATTTAGCATAGCCGTAGCTTCATATCTTTCAAACAATGTCATGCAACATTTGAACAGTTAAGCCATGCCAGCGTCTCATCTACACCTATATTCACATTAGAGAGAAGCATATTAGCATCCATAGTGATTCATCTAGCAGAACAAAAGGGATAAGGGGAGCAGAATGACTGAGGGAAAAGAGGTTACACAGACTTGCAGACTTTCAAAATAAAGGCTGTCACGAGAAGAGATTGAAAACGCAATGGGGACACTGGTAAAGGAGGGGCTCTGATAACAGAGCACACAGAACTTGAGATGTGATAGGAGGGTGCCATACCCTGATGTGGCCTGGATGGGGAAATGTGAAACGCAGACAACCATGCTAAAATAAGAGAGGATTGAAAATGTTTGTAAGGGACAATCTTAGAGGGAGGTACATATCATCTACATACCTTCACATTTACTTCTGTATCCATGTCACCGTATGTTAACCCACCTGCTTGATCTAGGAAAGCTAGTAGATGTAATCTTTTTGGACTTCAGGTAAGCTTTTCATATGGTTTTTCACAGTATCCTTCTGGGCAAAATGTCCAGTGTAGAACTGGATAACTGTGTTACGCATTGGATGAGCAACTGGCTCACAGATCAGTCACAAAGAGTTACAGTGACATCAGGCTGGCAAACAGTTGGCAGTGGGGTTCCACAGGGCTCCATCTTAGGCCCTGTCCTCTTCATCATCTTAATTAACATCTTGAACGCAAAACTCAAAGGAATATTAAGTAAATTTGCCAATGACACTTATTGGGAGGGTCTGTCAACTCTATTAGGGACAGAGAGACCCTGCAGAGAGACCTTGACAAATTAGAGATGAATAATCACCAACCATATGAAGTTCAACAAAGACAAGTGCCAGATTCTGTGCCTGGGGTGGGGAAACCCTGGATAGACGTACATACTGGGAAGTGAGAGGCTGGAGAGCAGCCCTATGGAAAGGGACCAGAGGGTCCTGTCAAGTCGAATATGAGTCAGCAGTGCCCTGGCAGCCAGGAGGGCCAACCGTGTCCTGGGGGCCATCAGGCACAGCATCACCAGCCAGTCCCGCTCTGCTCTGCTTTAGGGCAGCCTCACCTTGAATATTGTGGCAGTTTTAGGCACCACAGTATAAGAAAGACATAAAGCCATTAGAGAGTGTCCAAAGGAGAACAACAAAGATGGTAAAGGGCCCTGAGGGGAAGCCGTCTGAGGAGTGGCTGAGTCACTTGGTGTGTTCAGCCTGGAGAAGACTGAGGGAAGACCTCATGGTAGTCTACAACTTCCTCACAAGGGGAAGTGAAGGGACAGGCACTGATCTCTTCTCTCTGGAGACCAGAGAAAGGACTCAAGGAAATGGCATGAAGCTGAGTCAGTGGAGGTTTAGTTTAGATACCAGGAAAAAGCGAGAGAGTGGCTGAACACTGGAGCAGACTCCCTGGGGAAGTGGTCACGGCAGCAAGCCTGACAGAGTTCCAGAAGTGCCTGGGCAATTGTCTCAGGCACATGGTGTGATTTTTGCAGTGGCCTGCACAGGAAAGGAGTTGGACTCGATGGTCCTGATGCGTTCCTTCCAACTATGAATATTTTATGATTTTATGATTCAGTGGTGGTATTCTTAAGATGCTTTGTGTTCACAAGTACTTCAAAGTGCAGAAATAAAAAATTACCCCAAATTATAATATTCTTAAGTAGAAGACCATTTAAAATTCAGTTTACAGTTGGTGTTAACTTCCTTTAGGCTAATTAAGGTTATGGGAGAGCTGCCTTTCCTGAATATGCAGATTTTACCATGTTACTCAGCCAAATGCCTGTAATTTTGAAAATATCCCTATTTTGTTGGAATCTGTCTCTTGTTTCCTGGTGTCTAGTATACATCAAAGGAGAGATTAGTTAATCAAGCTACATTTTCTACTATCTATTATCTATGGAATGAGTCTAAAGGGCAAGGAGAGGGAAATAAGAAACCTAGAACCTACCATTTAAGTATTCGCAGTGTTTTCAAGTATGAAAAGTAAAATAATTGTTTAGAGATTCAGAACACACCAGATCAGAGGAGATGCTCCTGGCAACAGTGAATATGAATTATTTTGTAAACTTCTAGAGTTAATGTCAGATTCCTCATTGCTTGTCCATGTTAGTGTGTAATAGTTGTACTGTTTTATTTGTAATATAAACAATGGAAATGCATTTCACAATTCATACAATGTACTATTTTTTACTGCACATGTAGTACACATTTACTCTTTGGCACAAGGTAGTCTGTGAAGATGTAATTTAACATTTCAGTTCCTATTGAGATGTGTAATTCAGCTTACATCCCTTTCCTTTTATAATTAATTTTTAGAGCAGAGCTTTCAGTTGTGGTGAAGGTGTGTCTTTATAATATTTTCTGTAAAGAATTTAATGTACACCAGTATTTGTAGTTAGAAGAAGTTTTCCTTCCACTTCTTCCTCCCTGCTGAGATTAATTCATGCAAATGTAAGGGAAAGGGCTTGGAATCTTTTCCTGAGAAATGGAGATGAGGATACCAAGGGCTTTTGGTGAGCCTCTACAGAGGCTATGGTCAGCAAAATCTGCTCCACACAGTGATTAAACACTTGTTGATTTCTAAGGGATAATATCCCCTTTACATTTCTGTCAGTGTTTTGTGTAAAGGGATGATTTGTTTTAGTAGTATGTAGTGGCTTTTCTTCCTAGAACCACTGGAGTTAGAAACTAATGCTATATTTTAGTAAAATATTAGTCTCCTGCCTTTATCTGATACTAGCTATTAATAGCTTGTTGGAATAGTAAAATAATGTAAACAGAAGAAAAATTGCCCTACACAGAGTTCATGCACTGGGCTGTTGAATCCCTTTTGGAAATGTGGCAATGATGGAAGAGTGGTTTTGAGCTGCATTGCTCTATCACCTCTCACTCTCTTCAAGCAGCTCTGGGTGTTCAAAAATGACTGATAGATCAACTATAGAATTTGTAAGAAAGGACAGTGAATATGTGATATTAAGAAATATGGTTACTTCAAATGAGGATGTGCACATCAGTTCAGGTGAAGTGCAGCAGTTCATGGGACAGTTCACATAAGCAGGGCATGTAAGAGGGCGCAGTCACCCTCCCAGCTCCTGAGGCGTGCTTTCCTAGTGGTTTTTGCCCACCCAGCTAGAGTAGGCCCAGAAATGGATTCCACATAGTTGAAAGCTGATGCTAAAAGGAGAGTAGTGACCCAGATGGAGCTCCCTCATAAGCATGCAGCTGTCCAGGTCTCTAGCTGCATGGAGTGTTTGAGCCTGGCCTGCTTAACTGTGACCAGGTGGATGACCTGCTCAGCCTAGTAGCAGAGCTTGAAGAGGAGAAGTGGACAGGCTGAGGAGTATCAGGCATCATGAGAGAGAAATATGGTCGTGGAGTTACACGCTTCCATCCTTGTGAGAAATGCTGCAGATGGAAGCTTGGCAAGAGTCAGAGGAAACCTGATGCTCTCTCCATCAGGCAGAAGGAGGGGAATTGAAGCAGGTCCCTACTCAGGGCAGCAGGATAATCTGCTGCCAGCCTCATTTGCCTTTCCAAGTTGCACTTATGGAATAGGTGTGAGGCTCTGAAACTTGAGGGTCAGGCAAATGATAGTGAAGGTGAAGGTCTAGAAGGTCTACCCTGTGGATAGCTCAGAACAAGTCAGTCAACCAGATGCATTACAATTACAGCTGCTGAGAAAGAAGGAAGAGTAGTTCTCTTCTGAGGGGAACTGAGGGCCTGTATGCTGACTGGACCCATCCCAGGGAATTTTGCTGCATCCCTGGGGTTTGGGTAAGAAATATTGCTGGAAGACTCCCAGGACTTATTTAGCCCTCTGGTTATTACCCACTTTGGGTTGTCCAGGTCAGCAGGAAGAGGTTGAGGAGTTCTAGGACAATTAAAAGGACTTCAAGGCACTGGGATGACTGGTTGAAGAGAAAGGAGCTCAGGTGGTGTTTTCCTCAGTCCTTTTGGTAGCAGGGAAGAATGTTGAAAGGAACAGGAGAACCCACCCGAATCAACACCTTGCTTAATTCAAGTGCCATCAGTGGAATTTTGGCTATTTTGGTCATGGAGCAGTTTATACAGCACCCAGCTTGATACAGACAGATGGTGTTGATCTGTATAAAAGGGGGGAAAGGATGCTAGCCCATGAGTTGACAGGGTTGAAGGAGAGGCCTTTAAACTAGGTTTGAAGGGGGAAGGGGATAAGAGCAGGCTCACTAGACATGAGCCTGGAGGCAGTATGCCAGTGTTGGGGGTGAAATCAGTAGTCCAGCTGAAGTGCATCTATACCAGTGCACACAACAGGGGTAACAAACAGAAGGAGCTGGAAGCCACTGTGCAGCAGGAAAGCTGTGACACAGTGACCATCACAGAAACATGGTGAAACGACTGCATAAGTGGAGTGCAGTGGATGGTCAGGAGCTCTTTGTAAGGGACGGGTGAGGAAGGAGAGGCGGTGAAGGAGCTCTCTACATTAAGGGAGTGTTTTGGCTCTACAGAGCTCAAGGATAGTGGTGATAAGGTTGAGTGCCTCTGGGTAAGAATCAGGGGAAAGGCTAACAAGGCATTCTGGTGGGACTGTTACAGACCATCCAACCAGGCTGAAGAGATAAATGAAGTATTCTGTAAGCAGCTGGCTAATGTTTCCTGACTACCAGACCTTGTTCTTGTGGGAAACTTAAGCCTGCCAGATATCTACTGAAAACTCAGCATGGAGAGGAGGCAGTCTAGGAGGTTCCTGGAGCATGTGGAAAATAACACAACAGTAAGAGAGTCTCCTGGGGTAGTGCTCTGCTAGACCTGCTGTTTATGAGCAGAGAAGGGCTGGTGGGAGATGTGGTAGTCAAAAGCCATCTTGGGCATAGCAATCACAAAATTACAGAGTTTTTGACTCGATGAAGTAAGGAAGGGGGTCAACAAAGCCACTATCTTGAACTTCTGGAGGACAGACTTTGGCCTGTTCAGGACACTGGTTCAGAGAGTCCCTTGGGAAAGGGCCCTTAATAACAAAGGGGTCCAGGAAGGCTGGAAAGACAGAAATCTTAAAGGGATAGGAGGGCCATTCCTGTGTGCCAAAACCAAGCAATTTGTGAAGAAGATTGGCCTGGATGAACAGGGAGATTTTACTGGAACTTGCGGGGGAAAAAAGAGAGTTTATGATATTTGGAAGAAGGAGCAGGCAACTCAGGATAGAGTACAAGGATGTCGTTAAATCATGTAAAGAGAAGGAGAGGCAAAAGCTCAGCTAAAACACAATCTGGCAACTGCTGTGAAAGATAATAAAAAGTATTTTTATAAATACATTAATGACAGAAGGACGTCCAAGGAAAATCTCCATCCTTTATTGGACAAGGAGAGGAAACATTGTCACCAAGGACAAGGGAAAGACTAAGGTACTTAATGCCTTCTTTGCCTCAGCCTTCAACAGAAAGAACTGTTATCCTCAGGGCAGTGAGTCCCTGGAAGTAGTAGATAGGGATGTGGAGCAGAATAGGCCCCCTACAGTTCAGGAAAAAGTAGTTAGTGACAGGCTGTGCCACTTAGACACCCACAAAGCTATGAAGCCAAATTGGGTTCACCCAGGGGTACTAAGGGAGCTGGCAGAAGAGCTTACCAAGCCACTCTCTGTCATTT